TTTATGGCTACATAGTATTCCCTGAATATGTGCCACATTTTTAAAAGACTTAAGTATTATTTTTTGAGTATCTTTTTCTTTGTTTTTTTTTTTTACAAAAGCAATTTGCTTTTTACTTGACAAATTATCATGAACAGTATTCTACGTCAAACACAAGTCTCCAGACACAGGCTCTGGTCTCCCTTCAGTGCCGGGGAGGGTGGTATCACCTAGTTACAGTTCTGTCCCCAGCCTAGCACACCTCACATGATGCTCAACAATTGATACTGTCTAAGAGAATTATCTGGATGACTTGAAGGGTCTCTCCATTTACAAAGGTCAACAAGGCCACCAGGGTGTTCTCAGCCAGGTACACACAGAAGTGATGGAGAAAGAAGTATCAATGAAAGGAGTGAACCCAGAATTCAGAGAAACAGAATCGGCTTAGACATCCAATCCAGCAGAGCTGGGTCTTGCTTTTGCTGTGCTGACACATCAAAAGGGTGTTAATTACAATATCTGTCTACGACTGGGGGTATAGCTCAGGGGTAGAGCATTTGACTGCAGATCAAGAGGTCCCTGGTTCAAATCCAAGTGCCCCCTACACCATTCTACTTTTAATCACCAAAGTAGGTCCTAGGTCATAAGCTCCTCCCAACCCACTCTGGGCAAAAAATGACACAGCCTATCTAATCTCTGACCCATGGCATCTATGAAGTGCAGACTCAATAACCCTCAGGTGATTTTATGGGCTTTAAAGTTTGTAGGGCACACCTGTCTCCTGCAGCCCGCTGGGTACCACTCCAGCACTTTTGTAGAGTTCTCCAGAATCTCCCCAGGCACATCCATGTGATCCACAAGAGAGGGCTGGGCCATGTCTCTAAGTCCTGCTGCATTCTCCACAGCACCCAGCTTCCACTGTGGCACAGGAGTACCTGAACCAGCCACAGTCTCATGCCCACCTCCGATGGGCATGAGAAATCTAATGAGCTTAGATTTTTGAGCTTAGAGTGCTGCACCCTGGACTTTGGCTCTGTGCCCTCAGGTTCTGGATTTCCCATCTGGGGCTGCTGCAGACTCACACCCTGGCCTACCCAGACTAAGGACTGGGGGAGAGCAGGATTCTGGGAGGCTCTGGGAGACTGTGGGCAGGGAGCGAGATGATGGAGGAAGTCAGCTGGGACTTCCCAGAGGACTGACCTGATCCCATCAGCTTCTTCTCTCTCCTCCATGCAGACAGATACAGATCACGGGCTCCTCAAGGAAAAGGAAGCTGGAGTCAGATTCCAAAATCAGTAAATAAAAATAAGAATAGGTAAAGGGTACCCTGATTGGAAACTTTTGGTCTGTCCTCTAAGGCTCATCTCATTATTATGTGATGAAAACCTTGCAGTCTGTAGTCTTTTGGGTGAGAGGAGCACACCATGGGTAGTAACTGTGGTCTCTCAAGCCCCCTCTGATGGTGGTGGTAGCTGAACAAAGCAAGATGCAGGATGTGGTCCTTTCTGGAATATTCTGATGTTCCCAAAAATACCAAACCTCCAGGAGCTTCACAGATGCAGCAGAGCCACCAATCGTCCCAAATTATGTGGATATTTCCCACTCCTCAATGCAGTTTCCAGCCAATGGCTGAAGGGCCTATTAGGGGAAATGTGGCAGGAAGATTCACAGTCCATGACTGGGTATTGTGGCAGAGTTCTTTTCTCAAGCTTGGCTTTCTCGTCATCAGAGCAGGCAGGTTCTTTGAGCAGATTCAGACCGGGGTCAGAGGCCAGGAACCTCCATTGTGCCAGTTATGGTGGTAGCTCAGACCTACACATCCAGGGGACCACAATGGCTCCCCATTCTCAGGCCTAAAATCCTCACCACTGATGAGTCACAGCCAAGATCTGTGTGGCACAGACCATGGAATAACATTTCGCGGTAAAGTATCACAGTGCTTGGCCTCTGATACCCTAGGATCCTCCTAGCCTCACTGAAATCAGGGGCTCCCTTTCCGCTATCATCCCTCCCACCAGCATTTGTCTACAGGGAACAGCTACTATAATTCTTTTTACGAATGTAGAAGCTCCACACACCTACGTATTTTTCAAGCCAGGGCAAGTCACGTGTGATAAATCCACTCCAGCTTACCTACTCCCTGAAGCCTATAGATTCTTTCTACATTATAGCAAGAAATCCCTAGTACCTCAAATGCATTTACAATTGGCCTCCTGTGGCCGGGCGCAGTGGCTCACGCCTGTAATCCCAGCACTTTGGGAGGCCGAGGCGGGCAGATCACGAGGTCATAAGATAGAGACCATCCCAGGTAACACGGTGAAATTCCGTCTCTACTAAAAATACAAAAAATTAGCTGGGCGTGGTGGCGGGTGCCTGTAGTCCCAGCTACTCAGGAGGCTGAGGCAGAAGAAAGGTGGGAATCCGGGAGGTGGAGCTTCAGTCCACGTGGAATGGATCATACAGGGTGACACGTGAGCTATTTGCTTTGTTTAAACTGGTAGGACCAGTCATCCTGCCCAGAGGTCACTTACAATCTGGGAACTAGAAATTGGTCCTGATGGGACTGCAGGCAAAAGTTACTCAACTTTTCTACAGCCTGATATGGGCTTCTGGATTTCTATCCCCTCAAACTGCGTAGATTTTTATCACCTTCAAGTTTAATGAGGCCAGATTCCCAATCCACATTCCCTTCATGTTTCTGTAATCATTTATTATACATCCCTGGTACCAGCAAGGGCACTATGATTTCTAAAGAAGACGTCATATAAGGTGAGTGGAGACACAGAGGGCAATTGCTGACAGGATGGCGAGGAACTCATACAGTTCAGAGAAGCCCCCAGAGCCAGGCTCATCAAATAGGCAGGACCTCAGCCCACCCTGGCTAGGGAGCCACCACTGCTACCACAACAGACACTGGCTGCAGCCTCTGGCCCTACTGCCATTGCCAGAGCTCTGCCATCTCCAGAATGAATTCCAAATTCACCCTGCTTCTATGTAGGATTTAGTCTGCATTCATGGTATTGTTTAGGGGAATATAATTAGCCAAACTGAAGCCATTCCCAATGGTGCTGGTTAATTTTATGTGTTGGCAGGGCACAGTGGCTCATGCCTGTAATTCCAGCAGTTTGGTAGGCTGAGGCATGTGGATCGCTTAAGCCTAGAAGTTTGAGACCAGCCTGGGCAACACGGCAGAATCCCATCTCTACAAAAAATATAAAAATTAGCTGGGCATGGTGGTGCGCCCCTGCGGTCCCAGCTACTCCGGAGGTTGTGGTGGGAGGATCCCTTGAGCCCAGTAGATGAAGGCTGTGGTGAGTGAAGATAGCGCCACTGCACTCCAGCTTGGGTGGCAGAGGGAGGCTCTGTCTGCCTCAACAAATTTTCTTCTTTAAATGTGTCAACTTGGCTAGGCCATGGTGGCCAGATGTTTGTCCATACCAATCTGGATGTTGCTGTGAAAGTATTTTTTAGGTATGATTAACATTCAATCTACAGACTTTGAGTAAAGCAGATTACCCTCCAAAATGTGGGTGGGCATCATCTGATCAGATGAAAACCTAATGAGGAAATGTCTGCTGTCCCCCAAGAAAGGAATTTTGTCTCCATGCTGTCTTCAGGCTGGAGCTGCAACCTCAACTCTTCCCTGCTTCTCCAGATTGCTGCCATGCCCTGCAGACACGACACTTGCCAGCCCCCACAATGGCATGATCCAGTTTCTTAAAATCTATGTGCACACACACACACAGCCCCTATTGGTTCTGTTTTCTCTGAGGAACCCTGATTCACACACCAACATTCAGGGAGAGGACATATCTGACCTCGTACTTCCCTTAACCAGAGACAGGATCCTGTCTTCCACCAAGACTTACACAATTGTGAATTCCCCAAATGAAGAGGCTTGGGATGTGTAAGAAAAAAAGAGTTCTCCCCAGACCTGGCACTGACTTGCCTTCAAGAAATTGGGTTTCTCTAGAGCTTCTGGGGTCAGGGGAGGCTTTCTAGTGAAGACCTGACCTGCTTCCTATCTCTCCTGCTTTGCAGAATGAATCCATGTGCTGAAGAAAAGCTAAGAGTAGAATATCCTATTGTGATCAGTGAGCGAAAAGATATTGGGAGAAAAGCTGAGTGTTAGGAGAGAAGGTGAGGCAGGGCTTGCATGTCTGGCTAGACTTGCTGGCTCCTTGCTTCTAGCACTCCATTATCCTGTTTCTCTTCACTTGATAACACTGTTTCCTTTCAACCCCCACATCCTCTCCACCTGTTTGTTTGAGCACCAATAAATAGCGCCGGCTCCCAGAGCTCTGGGCTTTCCCAGCCTCCACACTAGTGATGGCCCACTAGTCCCACTTTCTCTCTCAAACTGTCTTTTTCTCATTCCTTTGACTCCGCCACTTTGTTGCCCTCATGACCTGGTATTGGGTCTGATCACCCCAAAAGAAAATAGGGAGGGGGCACCTGGATTTGAACCAGGGACCTCTTGATCTGCAGTCAAATGCTCTACCGCTGAGCTATACCCCCATTTAATTGCCTGTCTCCAGTAAGAACTATAAACCTGTATGGCCACACCCTGACTGTCACCGTCATGAGATGTGTACTTGCTTTGTCACGATACACCCCCTTCCTACTCCACACCTGCTTGCCAGCTCTACTTAACCACCAGCATCCTTCCTCCTCCAGTGTCTGACTGAAGACAGGGACATTACAATCACTGAGGTTTACAGCCAGGACATCCTTCAAACTTGCCGAGAAGGGCAGGACTCAAAGAACTGGTTGCTCAACAGACCCTTTAAAGGTGAGGCTGGGCTGGGCAGAGCTGGGTAAAAGCAAAAGTTCTTGAGCCCCACTGGAGGACTCCTAAGCCAGACTATCTGGGAAAGGACCTAGGGACCATGTGTGCTTCTAACCAACTCCCTGCAGCATTCTGACTCATGCTTTGGAGCTACTGGTTTAATGTGCTCCCTTACATGGTACAGATCTAGAAAAAATGACAGTATTTAAAATCATGCCCAAACAAAACATACCTGATTAATGACCAAGTCATGACAAGAATCCACATTCATGATAAAGGGCCTCCTTGCACTCAACACTCTGAGGCAGGAGTTGAACTGCCTTTTCCTTTACTCTTCTTTCCTCTTATCCTCCATTCGCTGAATCCCATGTGTCAGATAAAAGTTAGTAACCAGAAGATAGGATCCAATCCATGAAAAAGTGGTGAAGTGGAGAATCGGAGAAATCTGTGGTCACTGGGAAATGACACAGGACAGAGTGACTGAAAACATGTGGGCAGAGTGAAAGGAAGGGTCAACAAGTGACACTGTCTTGAACCAGGGACTACTTGATATGCAGCCAGATGCTCTGCCCCCAAAATGTGCCCTCTTATCTGTTTAGACTTTCCTGATTGACACTGTTTCACCTATGTTCCCAGGCCCAAGGATCTAATATACACTGTAATTTCTCATCATTTTCAGTGAACCACTGGCAACTGACTTCATTCAGACAGACCTCTATCTGGCTGTGAACTTACCCTGTCCTTCCCCATGGACCTATCAGACAACTTCTAGAAATCTTTCCTGCCTAGAATCCTGCAGCCTCCTCCTCAGTCCCTGTGTGGGGCAACAATTTGGAGAATTGCTGTTTAGAGCTGGAAGCTTCCTCTCTCCTCTCCTACTTCAGTTTTATCTTCTCTAACCTACTTCCCATACTCTCTCCACTTCACTTCACCCTCTGCACAGTGGGGTTACTTTGGGCCTTGTCCTACATTTTTTCGACTGTCTTCTTTTCTTCCCTCTCCTCACTTATTATTCCTTGCCTTTAAAAGGGAGACACTTTAGCAGAGGGGACCCAGTCCATGTTGGCCCCAAACCATTAGCTCAGCACAACTAGCAAAGCCAGGACCAGGCACGAAATCTATTTGAGCCCTGAAGCTCAGGCCTCCAGTATCCTGAATTAGGACCAGGATCTCTCCCCCATCAGGTTGGCAGAAATGTAATTATAGAAACTGGGCAAAGACTTAAGGAAACAGGTTCTTCATAGCTGCTGCTGGGAGCACCTGGTGGCCCTGGGGTACGCCTGGGGACAGCAATATGGCAACAGCAGAGACGATATCAAGCAAGCCTATGATATGGTGAGGCCATTGCTGGGTCTGTTTCCTGAAGTAGCATCCCCACAGGGGCACAAAGAGGCCCAAGAATGATCACTACAGTATCGCTTGTGAGCGTGAAAAATCAGAAAAAGCTTAAGCGCCAATCAGTGGAGGAATGGAAAATAAGTTACAATGTAGTTGCTTCTGGAATATTAAGCATCTGTTAAAAGGAATGAACTTGATCTACATGTATCATGGATACGTCTGAAATAATAATAATGAGTGATAAATATAACGACATCTATGTAATGTTTCAAAACACAAAAATCCATATATTGTTCACAACTACCAATGCACACAGTAGACATTTTAAAATCTGGATAGAGGGCGGGTGCGGTGGCTCATGCCTCTAATCCAGCACTTTGGGAGGCCGAGGCGGGTGGATTACAAGGTTAGGAGATCAAGACCATCCTGGCTAACACGGTGAAACCCTGTCACTACTAAAAATACAAAAAATTAGCCAGGTGTGGTGGCATGCGCCTGTAGTCTCAGCTACTCCAAAGGCTGAGGCAGGAGGATCGCTTGAACTTGAGAGGCAGAGGTTGCAGTGAGCCAAGATTGTACCATTGCACTCCAGCCTGGGCGACAAAGTGAGACTCTGGCTCAAAAAAAAAAAAAAAAAAAAAAAGGATGGAAAGGATAAACATAGACAATTCAGGACAAGTGGCTGCCCTAGGGAGGCCTAGGGGACCTAAATGGTATGAAAAATCCATTATTTCACAAACACACATCACACACATACACATACACACACACATTTTAAATTACAAAGCATGGCATACATCCAGCAAGCAGTTATTGAATTCCTACTCTATGCTGGGCAATATTCCAGGTGCCTAGAATGAATATACGAAGAAAACACTTAAAAAGTTTTTGTACTTTTGAAACTGACATTCTAATGAGGGAGACCTGACATAAGATAAATGTATAAATAGGAAAGATATATATTACACGATGCTGTCTGACACGGAAGACCCAAAGCATGAAAGGAGGCCCGGAGTCCTGGGTGGGGAGGGGCTGTAGTACCGATGACAGGAAAGGCCTGAAGGTGGCATTTGCCTGAGGAGCACTCCCAGCAGAGGGCGCTGCGAAGGCCCTGGCACAGGGCGGAAGGGACAGCAACAGGGATGGTACAGCTGGGCAGAGAGTGAGAGAGAGGAAAGTGGAGGAGGTGAGCCGATGGTGCGGGTCAGACGGAAAGCCAGGACTGGGTCTAAAAGGGATCACTCTGCTGGGCTGAGATGAGACTTGGGGATCACGGCAGGGGCAGAAGGGCTGGTGACAACCTCAGCAAGAGACAATAAGCCTGGGTGTCAGAGTGGAGGGGACGAGGTGTGGACAGACTCTGGGCAAACTTTGCAGGGAGGGCCAGTAGGGTTTCTGGTGGAGTGGATGGGGATGTGGAGGAGGAGGTCAGAGAGGACTTCTCGGGTTTTGACTGCAAATGGAAGGATGGAGCTGCCATTTACTGGGATGGGGAGAATGTGGGAGGAGCAGGCTATTCAGAGAAGACAGGAGCTCAGCTCTGGGAATGTTTAGGGGGAGATCTATGAGACACTCAGGTAGAGATGAGGGCCAAGCAGCTAGATGTGTGGAATTTGGGGCAAAAATCCAGGTTCGAGGCACACATTCCTAGATGGTACGTGTGGCCCCAAGACCCTGGGAGACAATGGGAGTGAGGAAATGCAAGCAGTAGAGAGGGAGTGTGAGAACCAAGGGCGCTCTGGGGCTGAAAGGCTCCACGGGGCAACAGGAACCAGGGAAGAAAGAGCAGTGAAGGTGGGTGGCAGGTGCAAAGAAAGTGAGCAACATGGCAAGTGTTACGAACAGGCCAAGTAAGAAGACAGACCATTCAGCACCACGGAGGGCCCTGGTAACCGAGGTTGGAGAGGTTTTGGTGGAAGGGGTAAAAGAGTGGGAGGGAAGGGGCAGGAGACAGCAAGTGCAGATGTCCCCGAGGTCAAGGCAGGATTGCTTGTGTTGCCCTTGAGAAGGTGGCATGGAATGGGATGCAGAGCCAGGTGGAAGGGGGGCTTTGGCTGGAGAGTCGACAGTTTAGCAGTCACAGGAGTGAAGGCAGAGAAGGGGGCACAGGTGCAGGCAGACGGCATGGGGAGGGCTGTGCAAGTGAGTGGTGTATTTCTCTTTAATTAAAAAAAAAAGAGGGGTTAAAATATAAAACCATTCTCAGCTGTGGGCCATACAGAAACAGATGAGGTAAATTTGGCCCTCAGCCAGTTGGCCGGCCCCTGGGCTAGGGAAACACAGTGTGACCACATGGCAGAGCACCCACTGAAGTCACTGGTCGTGGATGTCATATGACACCAGCAGCCAGCTTACCTGGTTCTCTGCAGCCACGTGCAGCTGTTTGGCTGCAGGTGCAGAATACCGATAGATTTCATTAGGTGGATACAATGAACAAAACAGGGGCAAGGGCACTGAGGCTGTGTGCAAGGGGGGACCACAATGGTGGGCATGGAGGGAAATGAGGGGTGAGGCCAGTGAAAAGGCAGCAGGGTTGATGGCTTGCAGGTCTTGAAAGACTGGAAACTGCTGGAATCAGGACACAAGACAGGGAACTGAAGGGACGGCAGGAAGCGGCCAGGGAGTGGTGTGCTGGAGATGGAGATGGAGGTGTGGTGCAGTCACTGTTATCACAGTCATGGATGGCTGTGGGATGGGTGGAGGGGGCACAGGACCATCCACAAGGAGGCTGCCATGGCCAAGAGTAAGGGCAGGGAGTGACGAGAAGAGAGGGAAGGTCTGCAGAAACAGCAAAAAAGACGAGGCCTGAGACCCAAAGGCAGGGTCTCTAGAGAGGGAGTGAGGCTGGGAGAGACGCAATCGTGAGAGGTGAGGACCCTGTCCCCGGCGGGCCTGGGCTCAGAGGCAGGCAGGGAAGAGGATGACAAGCACTCAGAGGGCTGCAGTCCCCTGGAGCTCAGTCCAAGCAGGGAACACTCAAGACCTGGCAGGTCTGCTGAGCTCCGAGTCCCACAGGCTCGGTGGAGGGATGTGCAGGAGGTGAGGTCTCATAAGGGGATGGGCCAGGCCAAATGTGGCGAGGGATGAGCTGTGATTCCCAGCTCCTTGGATAAACGGGACAGGGATAAAGGCCACACAGGATCCCTGCCGACAGGCTCAAGGTGGACAATGGAGTTTGTCTCCTCATCTTGTCTACTGGTTGGTAGAGGCCATGGATGCTGCTGAACATCATATTATGTAGCCAAAGAGTGTTACGGGGTCTTACCAGCAACCAGCATATTTCCAGGCCCCTCTTTACTCTCGTTTAATGATGCTGTGGAAGTGAGGGAAGCCTCCACACACGGTGTAAATACAACGAAACCCACCCACCCAGAACCTCCTACCCAGGCTAGGAAGCTGGACGCACATGGGTTGTAACCCTCTTTTCCAGCCCAATAGTATGTGTTCTCAGCCGTCTTTCTGTCCTCTAGCATTCAGCACTGTCCTTGACACCTAGAAGATTCTCAAAATGCACCAGTGGAACTAAACCGTTGTTGCGGGAAGTCAGGGACCACAAACAGAGGGACCAGCTGAAGCCACGGCAGAAGAACACAAATTGTGAAGATTTCATGGACATTTATTAGTTCCCCAAATTAATACTTTTATAATTTCTTACGCCTGTGTTTACTGCAATCTCTGAACATAAATTGTGAAGATTTCATGGATACTTATCACTTCCCCAATCAATACCCTTGTGATTTCCTATGCCTGTCTTTAATCTCTTAATCCCCTCATCTTCGTAAGCTGAGGAGGATGTACGTCACCTCAGGACCATGTGATGATTATGTTAACTGCACAAATTGCTTGTAGAGCATGTGTGTTTGAACAATATGAAACCTGGGCACCTTGAAAAAGGAACAGGATAACAACAATGTTCAGGGAACAAGGGAGATTGGACTCTGACTGCCGGTGAGCCGGACAGAACAGAGCCATATTTCTCTTCTTTCAAAAGCAAATAGGGGAACTATCGCTGAACTCTTTTTCTCAGCAAGGAACATCCCTGAGAAAGAGAATGCACCCTGAGGGTAGGTCTATAAACGGCCCCCTTGGAGGCTGCCATCTTTCATGGTCCAAGCCCAAGCCGCAAGTGCTCCGAGGCTTATTAGGACGAGGAAATTCCCGCCTAAGAAATTTTGGTCAGACAGGTTGTCTGCTCTCAAACCCTATCTCCTGATAAGATGTTATCAATGACAATGTGTGCGGAAACTTCATTAGCAATTTTAATTTTGCCCCATCCTGTGGTCCTGTGATCTCGCCCTGCCTCCACTTGCTTTGTGATAGTTTATTACCTTATGAAGCATGTGATCTCTGTGGCCCACACACTATTCGTGCACTCCCTCCCCTTTTGAAAATTGCTAATAAAAACTTGCTGGTTTTATGGCTCAGGGAGCATCACGGAATCTGTCGACACGTGATGTCTTCCCCGGACATCCAGCTTTAAAATTTCTCTCTTTTGTACTCTTTTCCTTTATTTCTCAGACCAGTCAAGACACTTATGGAAATAGAAAAGAACCCACATTAACTATCAGGGGTAGGTTCCCCCGAAAAACCATGAATGTCCTGATGATGACTGGCAAGTGGCCAGCTCGGAACATGCTTCTGCCCTTAGGAAAGTGCAAATCTGACTGAGATGAGATGATGAACATGGGGGATGCGTTTAATTTCACACAAGTGGAGCACAGGAGGGCCTCTAAGGAACACCATCTTTCTCAGTGTCAGACGAAAGGGAAAACCAAGGCAGGTGGGATGGTCAAGGGCGGGTCTTCTGGAGGAATCAGGGGTCGAGCCTTGCAGAGATGTGGTCTCCGTGGTCAAATGACCCAGCAGGTCTTCACTTTAGGAATTTGGTTTTTCTCCTGTGTCCACCTGTCCTTCCCTTAACTTTCAAAGGTGCTGACTGGCTCCAAGGAAATCTGAGACACTGATATCTGGTAACCAGATTCACCTTAAATAAATGTGTGCTTCTAATCATACTGAACCATAAGGCTGACCAAGGTGTGTATGTTCTACAACTGCTCCTGGCTTAAATTAAGGTTGAGGTCGGACGCGGTGGCTTATATCTGCAATTACAGCACTTTGGGTGGCCGAGGTGGGCAGATGACCTAACATCAGGAGTTCAAGACCTGCCTGGCCAACATTGGGGGTGAAACCCTGTCTCTACAAAAATACAAAAATTAGCTGGGCATGATGGCGGGTACCCATAATCCCAGTTACTCGGGAAGCTGAGGCAGAAGAAATGCCTGAATCCAGGAGGTTGCAGTGAGCTGAGATCGTGCCATTGCACACCAGCCTGGGAGACAGAGCAGGATTCCCTCTCAAAAATAAATAATAAATAAATAAATTAGACATTGGTTCTCAGAAGCAAGGCCGACTCTTTGCAAAGCTTTGAATTAATCTTGTTTTCAATACACAGTTGCCCCTTGAACAACATGGGTTTGAACTACGCAGGCACACTTATAAGTTAATTTTCTTCTGCCTCTGCCACGCCTGGGACAGCAAGACCAACCCCTCCTCTTCCTCCAGTCTACTCAATCTGAAGATGACACTGAGGAGGATGACCTTTATGATGCTCCACTTCCATTTAATGAGTAGTAAATATATTTTCTTTTCCTTATGATTTTCCTAATAACATTTTTTCTCTAGCTTACTGTAAGTATACAATACACAATACAAGAGCATACATAGTATGTGCTATTCCCTGTTCATAGTATCAAGACTTCTGTTCAATAGGAGACTATCCAGTAGTTAACTTTTTGGAGAGTAAAAAGTTAGATGTAGATCTTCAGCTGCTTGGGATTGGGGGCTGTCGCCCCTGGCCCCTGCATTGTTCAAGGGTCCACTATGCTCCTGCCTTCCCTCTCGGTGTCCTCCTCTCCCTCCCCTCATCTTGTGCCCGGCCTCCGTCTCTTCCTAAAAGATTAGGTTTGCCGCCTGTTTCCCTAATAGAAAGTGTTCATTTCTAGGGCATTAGTTGAATAAGTTAGAGGTTAAAACTCAACTATAAAAAACTCAGACATAAAACCTGTAACCTTCATGTTTCTCCTCGGCTCTCTCTGGAAAGATCACACCCTTCCTGGCCTTTCCACCTCTGTTTCCTGCACATCACCTGAGGCCTCCTTGGCCTTCTCCCAGCCCTTACCTGGACTCGGGTCCGCAGGAACATCTGGAATCTTGGGGCCAGGGCGGCGCCAGTGGCAGGGCTCCTTCCCTTGTTCAATCTGGGAGAGGACCTCGGGCTTGGAGATGGCGTAGTCTGAGGAAAGACAGAAGGTTAGTTTTTGCCATGTTCCAGTCAGAGCTGGGAACAGTCAGCCCAGGAAACCAACAATGGTCTAGAAACGAAATCTCTTGATTGTTATAGAGCAGTAGCTCTCAACCACAGGCAATTTTGCTCCCTGGGGACATTTGGCAAAGTCTGGAGACAATTCTGGTTGTCGTGCCCAGGGCTGGGGGAGAGGTGACTGGCATCTGGAGAGTAGAGGCCAGGGTTGCTGCCGAACATCCTACGATGCAGAGGATGGCCCCCAACACATAAAATCACCTGGTCCCAAATGTCAACAGTGCTGGGGTGAAGAAACTGCCGCAGAGCGTGCATATTAAACAGCAGTGCACTTGTGCTGACAAAACCACCTCATGTCTGCACTTGCTCCTGTCCTCTCTAACAGGCCTCGCTGCCCTTGGCTCCAGGGTCACAGAGAGGAAATTAGAAGAGGAAATCAGCCCAGGAAGAAACACTGTCCAGGCCCTTCCTGGGCAGGATCAAACAAGGAGAGCAGAGAGTAGTAGCTCAAAAAAATGAGGGAAGAGTAGTTTTGAGGCATGAAGAAAATGTCTGCTGCAAGAAGCACCATTGGCCCATGTTCTCCACTGACCTCGAGGCATGTCACCGTAAGGGCCACGCATGTCTGTAGGAGAAGGCTGAATTAGAAAGAGTCTTTCTCAAATGTGAGTCGATTACACACAGGCTCTGAGAGCAGGAGGGATCTTCCTTGCTCCAAGTCAGCACCAATAGAAAGGTCCACATCTGAGGCCTGTGTAGGAGGGAAGCCACCACCTTTCCCAGCCTGGTGTTCTGGGACCCTGCGCACAGGGCGAAGGGAGCTTTTAACTCCATCACCCAGGGCTCATCTTTCACAGGAGGTAACAACTCTCAAAGTCAATGTTTCTGGTGATTTACATATCACTGTCATGAAAACAACCATGTGGAGAGAGAAGTACAGGGACTTCCAAAATCCCATAATGAGTGTCAGGCCTTACCCAAAGAGACCAGCGTCTTGCAGTTGCCCCTCACCACGTGCCTGTATAGCTCCTTCTGCCAGTCCTCCAGCTTGCCCCACTCCTGCTCAGAGAACTACAGAGCCACATCATCAAAGGCCACGGGCACCTGAAACCACAAGTGTCACACTCGCTCACCCACATGCTCACAGTCTCGGCCCCGTGGCCTCCCCAACCCCAGGGTGCCCCAGGGCTACCTTGGGGGACTCCCCCTTGCTGCCCAGGGGCAGCCACAGGATGCAGAAGTTCCCGTTGCGCAGCAGGTTCTCCATGTTCTCCAGCCGCCTCTGCAGCAGCCCGTACTCCTGCAGCAGGGTTCCCAGCACGGCCCATTTGCCCTCCAGCTGGTTCCCGAACTCCTCGGCTGTCTTCTCGCAGTCGGCCAGCTTCTTCTCGGCCATCCCAGTTCGACTTTCTAGGGAAAGCAGGCGAGCAGCCTGCCATTCAATCTTCCTCTCCATGGCATGAATGTTGGCTGCCATTGTCCACGGAGGAATCTTTCAGAAACACAAGAGAAACCGGCATCATTCATTCCATCCATTGTCTTCACTGAGCCCCTCTTTCCCTAGGCATGGGGGAGCTGGGCTGGGAGCCCATATGTGTGGACAAGTGGGGCTATCCTGTACCACATGCCAGATCTCAGGCTGGCAATCACCTGTTTGGGTATGTTAGGTCTATGTCTGGGTGGGTGCCTTTACTCCAGGCCTCTGCAGCACAATGCAGACCCTTCTCACGGTGCTTACCCCCCTACACAGTAATTTCCTACCCACGCCTATACTGTGGGCTCCCTGAACATGGTATTGCATCTTTTCATACCACAGTCCTTGACCCAAGCCTGGCACTCAGTGCAATTTTGCTACGTACACAGTGACTTAGCATTGCTCGGTATTTTAGTGGGGAAATAGTAAACTGCAGATGTACTATAGCCCAGCCTGCACCTCCCCTCATGATTACACAGGAACTGTCTATTGACGATAATGCAGCAAAACAAACAAACAAACAAAACACAAAAAAACACAGCCGATTCACTGAAATGGCACAAACAAGAGTACTACTTATTTTTTGTCCCCTTTTAATATACATAAAAATCTAATAGCCAGTTCCTCTTCCCCCAGGATAGTCTCATTTTGTCCCCTTCCCATCTGCCCCTCCCCACAAGCTAAAATTCCCATGACTGCAAATCTCCATCAGTCCAGAGATTTTTGACACTGCATGAGCCATACAAGATTCTTTCTCTTTCCCAAGTCCCACCCGCTCAACATAAAAATGATGGCCTCGATCATTTTTGTACCTGTACCAGGAGTGGTGACATACAGTCGGGTGATGAAAATGGACATATGTCACAAAGTTACACTTATATATGGGCAAAAACCATCTTAATGAGAGATGAGGGGCCTCCCTGTCCTTGGAAACATTCACATGGCATATCAGTGACCGGCAGCTGGGGACAAGAAGAACGAGCACATATTGCCTTGGGTGGGGAGCTGGACTATTTGAGCCACCCACTTCTGAAAATGGGACCTACAGGGCAGAGAGGAGCTCCTGGTACCCATGCCCAAGGATCAACGCCTCCTTACAACAATCTGCAAAATAATTCCTCAACAAAAGGTTGGCGATTATTTGCAAAATGAGTAAGTGGCTACTAGAAACCAGTGCGGATTCACTTAGAGAAAGTCACTGAGAACTAGAACGTGGGTGGACACCTCAAAAAATAGAGACAAAAGGAGAGTTTGAGCAAAGGTAGAAAAAAAAACTTGTCCAGCACAGTGCTAAAGGGCCTGTCTGGCTGTTTGAAGGAAAGCAGGACCTAAAGAAGGTAGGACTCTAAGGGGTCTTCAAGGCTGGAAGGTTCTGGACAAGCTGAACTGTTTCTAAGCGAAAACCCCAATGTGGGTGGGAGTCTTGCTCTCAAGGAGTAGGCGGCCCTGCAAGTACCCAGGTGAGCTGGCTTGGTGCTGGGTTTGAGTCCGCCCTCCACCTAAGGCCACTGTTCCTTCCCTCACCTCTCCTTTCTTAGATCAGTCCCTGTCACGTAAAGTCAAACGCCAAGAGTTTACTCCAGAAGCTTCCTTTCAACTGGTCACCAGCTCCCCATCCACTGAAATCCTCCCCATCCTCCACGTGCATTATTACGGTCTTTGTGTGGCATGAAAGGGACCTCTGCATAAACTACTTTATTAAGAAAATATTAGTCTTTTACAGATGGACAACAAGGTGCACGGTTTTCTTACAATTCTGATGGGGCCAGGAAGCCCTGTGTAAGGCCTTCACACTATGTGGTGGGAGGTGGCGACTGTGCGCTGCTCGCTCCAGCCCAGATTCTTACTGTCTGGTGGCTGGAATATGTGGGGCTGTCCTTAGACTCCTGCCACGGGAGCCGAAACTCTTTGCTTGAGAGGAGCTGATGGTAAGAGGAGCTGGATCCCTCACTCACTGCCCACCCGCAGGATGAAGTCCAGCCATGCAGGCCCCTTCCTAGTCTCTCTCTGCAGACTCCTTTCCCACTGCCTCAAACCAAAACCATCTTCTCCAGGCTCATGGACTCTTTTCTGTTCGTCAACACGCCCTGCACTGTCCCGTCTCTCTGCGCCTTTGCCCAGGCACTCCTCCCTCCCTGAAAGCACCACGGGTCTAGCTGGGCCTGAAATCCTAGCCTTCCCTAAAAGCCGGGCTCAAATCACAGAGGCGCAGAACATCAGGAGAGCATCAGGCCATGAGGGGTGGACAGCGGTACCAGGCGGCCCCCTGACGCTCCTTCCCCCGGAGCCCACCGCAAGCTTCCACCTGGGCGCCAGCACTCACCCCTTTCTGTTTTGCACAATTATTGCCCGCGTACCTGTCTGCTTGGTCCTTGAACACACAGCCACAGTGTGTCTTTTCACACTTCCAGGTGTGCCAGCCTGGGCAAGTTAACTTCTCTAGGCCCCAGGTTTTTCTTTTGCATGACAGAGATTAACACCAGTACCCATCCCACTGGCTTGCTGTGAGGACAGAAAGACAGACTATCGCCTCAACAGAGCTTGGTGCAGTACTTGGCTCTATATCCCCTTCCGCGCCGACCCCGGGGAGCTGGGCAAGTAAGGGGTGTCGGTGTATGCGGATTCGAAGCCACACAACTCCCAGGTACCACTAAGCCGCTGGGAGGAGCTGGGGGAGGGACCCACAGGCAAAGCGCCAGGCAGAGAAAGGAGCCTCGGGTGGAGAGACGCAGACTTAGGGTACAGCGGCTGGGGCGGGCGCAGGAAGCCCCGGAGAGGCCAAGGAACTTGGCGTGGGGCGGCCCGGGGCGGAGACAACCGTTCCGCCAGCGCTCGGGCTCGGCCCGGAGTGGGGGTCCCGGCTGGCAGGCGCAGTAGGCCCCGGCGGACCCCGCGCTCCGGTTCCCCGGAGCCCCAGGCGCGTTAGTACGGTCCGACTGCCGGAGCCCCCGTGTGCCGGGCCCGGGTCGCCCGGGGCACCCAGGCCACAAGTCCGTGCGCGCGCTGATCGCCCTTACCGGAGCCGCGGCCACCTCCTCCGTGGCCCTGCGCTGTCCGTCGCGGCCCGAAGAAAGTCGCCGCGGTGCTGCGCGCGGCCCCACGCAGGCCCCGCCTCCCAGTGCTCTCCGCAGACTGCGCCCGCCCGTCCTTGCCCCCGCCGCCGCTTCTCCCTGGGTACCCATGCCTGGAGCCGCCCGCAGTAGCACCAACACCTTTAGCGCCCGGCAGGTCCACGCTGTATCCTGGGAGCCGGCGCGGCCGACTAAGGCACGTGAGGCTTCCTGGAGGCAGGCAGCCGCGCAGCCCCACCTGCAGCTCCGGAGGCGAACTGCAGGCGCGAAGCCCGCCTGGCCCGCGACCCGGCGCTGACCCCGCGACCCCTGGCCGACCCCTCACCCATCCCCCGACTGCCGAGTGCGCGCGCGCAGTCACTGCGCTGGCCCCGGTGCACTGGCAGGGCCCTCCCCGGTGACCTTGGGCAGTGTGGCCCCCTCGCCCAGCTGGGCCCTGGCGCGCCCGAACAGGCACTTCTGCCGCCTGAGGTCCGGGGCCTGGAGGTTTGGGCTGTTTTCGGGGGGCAACTATAACTCACCCCCCATCTGTGTTTGAAGTGGAATAAATACTTCGAACAATAGGAATATACCGGTAGACGCCACTTAACATTTTCTACCATGTGTTTACTACAGTAAATATTTTTTAATGGCATGAGCAATGGAACGCAATACCATCACTGAACATTTTGGGGAAGAACTTGGTATGGACAGATGTTCATGATACTTTAAGAGAAAAAGAGATATTTAAGAGAAAGAGATAATTAAGAGAAAAAGCCTGTCCAGAACGATCCTGTCTTTGTTTTGAAATTAACACTTTAAAACAATATATGACATGATATGTAGCGTTATATATACTCTATATATAGTGTTATATATACTATATATAGTTATATATACTCTATATACGTTATATATATCTATAGTTTTGAAAGTTTGGAAGCATACATATGTCAACATAGACTAAGCAGTTTTCTTTAATAGACCACAGGCCTTTTCCCAATTCATGTTTTTATTTTTCAATAACAAGGACAGTATTTTTAAACAAGGAGAGAAAAATAAAAATTTAAAACTCCTTAAGAGGCTGGGGATGGAGGACGCCTTGGACTGGCGCCCCCACGTGGTTACAGAGGCGCATTGCCTTTCAGATTCCTGGGCTGAGCGGGGCTCTTTCCAGCTGGGGAAACTGCTCCATGTGGTGCGGAGTCTACGGGGCTTGCCAGGCTTAGGGACTGGGATCTGAACATTCTCTGCTAGTTTCTCCTTTTTTTCTTTTTTGAGACGGAGTTTCACTCTTGTTACCCAGGCTGGAGTGCAATGGCGCGATCTTGGCTCACTGCAACCTCCGCCTCCAGGGTTCAAGCCATTCTCCTGCCTCAGCCTCCTGAGTAGCTGGAATTACACCACCACGCCAGGCTAATTTTGTAGTTTTTTTTAGTAGAGACGGGGTTTCTCCATGTTGGTCAGGCTGGTCGCGAACTCAGGACCTCAGGTGATCCGCCCGCCTCGGCCTCCCAAAGTGCTGGGGTTACAGGCATGAGCCACCGCGCCCGGCTGTTCTCCCCTAGTTTCTCTTCATCAGTGTGGGCTGAATGTACAGCCCGGGCATCATCTGGGTTGCATTCTTGTTTGTGTATAAAAATGGAATTGCCCCAGGAGTCGTGTGGGGGAAGACCTTACTCATAGTGTTGCCAATGCTCCTGCATCCGACTTTCTTCTTCAGGTCACAGGCACTACCCAGCTATTCTCTGATGCCTCTCATCTCTGGGTGATTGTCCCTCAAATGAGGGGGTTTAGACATTTCCTGCCTGGAGCCCTTGGCATCGTTTGTCTTTTGGAGTAAATCCCACAGAGGGTAAAATCACCCTACTCACCCCATGAGCTGTAGGAGAATGTCCCCGGACCTGCCCCTAGGGTTTTTCCTGTTTTTTTCTTTTTCCCTTCAGCTCTTCCACGTGATTCCTTCCCCTCTCAAGTGACACATCTCCTCTGCTAGGGGTGGACCCATGTTTTATGGGTCTGAAGCTTGTGTAATCTGGAAGAACATTATTAAGAAAAAGCCTCATAAAATTACAAATGTAGAAGGAGGCACAGAGCTGGTGCAGGGGAGGCACTCCGAAGCTTCTTTAGCTTCATTGTAAGGTCCTGGATTAAAAAAAAAAAAAAAATCCAGCAGAGGCATCAAACATACCCAAGCATTGTCTAGGCTGGGACATGTGCACCAGGGATATTGTAGGGGGAACTGGGAGTCAGGAGACCCATCAGTTCTGTCATTAACCAGTTGAGATCCTTGGGCAAGTCAGTCAGCCCTTGCCTCATATGTAAAGTGAGGAGATTGGCCTAGACCATTCTGCAAACATCCCTGAGTCCAGCCTTCCTTTCACCACTTGTTACGGGACCCAGTAGAAGACCACTGCTTCCACTCTCACTGTGGCCTTTTTGCGGGTCACCCTGCATGATAATTTACCTCTGTTATCAAGACAACAATGTGCTGATCAGTCCCTGCCCTGTTGCCTGGAAGATCCTACTCCCGGATTACCTTGGAAAAGGGGCTTATTCTTGTTAGAGGAGACAGAGGTGTTACCTCCATGGCAATATGGCCCCTAGGGGAACTAGTGCTTTCATGGTGTGTCCCATGGTGTGTCCTGAGGACATGAGCAGTGGGGCAAAGTGCAGTCTGGACTTAAGTGACCATCTGTGTGTCTCTTGAAGGAATTTAACAGCATCATAGAAATCACTGTGGAATTCAGTGTTTCCCAGGTCCTCAGATCAGGAGTGGAGAGGAGTGGCTGCCTTAGCTGCCTTGTGAGAAGGCTGCCAGGGCTACAAGGCAAAAGGCCTGTGGGTAAAGGAGGAAATTCCAGTAGGAGGGAAAGACAGTTCACAGATGGGACAGTTTACCAGCTCCTGTGACAACAGAAGAGGCAGGGCCTTGGCATAGATGAGGAGGTGAAAACGAGCTAACCCAAGTGTTACTCCAAGTGTTCCTTCTAAGAGGGACAGGGCTCTGCCTGCCATCAGAAAGGTCATGAGGGAGGCTGGACGCAGTGGCTCATCCCAGCACTTTGGGAGGTTAAGGCAGGAGGATCGCTTGAGGCCCCGAGTTTCAGACCAGCCTGGGCAACATAGTGAGACGTCTGCTCTACAAAAAAAAAAATAATAAAAATAAAAAGTATTAGCTGGGTATGGTGGCACACACCTGTGGTCCCAGTTAGTTGAGAGGCTGAGGCAGGAGGATTGCCTGAGCCCAAGAGTTGGAGGCTGCAGTGAGCTATGATTGTTTCACTGCACTCCAGCCTGGGTAACAGTGCAATACTCTGTCACTTAAAAAAACAATGAAAAAGTCAAGTGGGGTTGTTCTCCTGCAACATTTTTTGGTCCTTGAAACTAGGTTAACATTGGCCATTTTAAGGCTTTTGGGGATTCCAAAATCCACTCAGCTACCGCCGTCTCACTATTTCTTGGAGTTGCTCCTTCTCCATCATTCTCCATGTATATTAACTGAAGAAGTGGAGCTGGAAGAATCATCTTTGTCCTAGATTGCAGTTGTGTTGAAAGTGCCCTGAATGGAATACCGGGCCCAGAGAGTCAGACCCAACTCTGTCATTAAGTGTGTTAGAACAGACACGTCAGTCACACGAAGTTTCTTTTGTGGGTGTCCACCGTGACAGGAACTGGAGGGTGACTCTGAAGGCCATTCTAGCAGTGCTTTTCCAGGCTGCCACCCCCACGCAGGAACTCAAGGCAGGGAAGACACAGGATCCGGGGTATCTGAGGAGGAGAGACTGCCTCCTGTTATACACAAGGTCAGTGAGTTTTCACTCAGGTGGGTCTGGCAGCTCCTATGAGCTTCCATTGTGAAGTGGCATCTCATAGGTTCCTGGTGATCTGGGTATGACTATAAAAGTCAAAGATATTAATTAACCCACACAATAGCAGGATAGGGTATAGCTCAGGGGTAGAGTATTGGACTACAGATCCAACAGGACACCAGTTCAAATCCAGATAACCCCTCTGGCTTTTCAATTTTGACATTTTAAATAGGTGCCTATATTTTAACTTCTTTTCTATTAGACAGTAGAGTAAAGATTTCACTTTTTCTGGAACCACCAAATGGTGAGGGTAGAATGTGGTGGTTTTATACATTTTAGGGAGACATGAGATATCAATCAATATGCGTAAGATGTACATTGGTTCAGTCCGGAAAGGTGGGACAACTTGAGGTGAAGGCAGGACAACTTGAGGTGAAGGCAGGACAACTGAAAGGAGGGAGGGGGCTTCCAGGTCACAGGTAGATAACAGACAAATTGTTGCACTCTTTTGAGCTTCTGAGGAGCCTCTCCAAAGGTGGCAATCAGATATGCATTTATCTCAGTGAGCAGAGGGGCGACTTTGAATAAAATGGGAGGCAGGTTTGCCCTAAGCAGTTCCCCGCTGGACTTTTCCCTTCACGTTAGTGATTTGGGGGCCCCAAGATTTATTTTCCTTTCACACTTAAGTGTACAGTACTTGAAACTGGACCTGTGGCTGGGTGCGGTGGCTCACACCTGTAATCCCACCACTTTGGGAAGCCGAGGTAGGCGGATCACGAGGTCAAGAGTTCGAGACCAGCCTGGACAACATGGTGAAACCCCATCTCTACTAAGAATACAAAAATTAGCTGGGCATGGTGGTGCATGCCTGTAATGCCAGGTACTGTGGAGGCTGAGGCAAGAGAATCTCTTGAATCTGGGAGGTGGAGGTTGCAGTAAGCCGAGATCACGCCACTGCACTCCAGCCTGGGCAACAGAGCAAGACTCCATCTTGGGGAGAAAAAAAAAACAAAAACAAAAACTGGACCAGAACAGCATCTTCACGAACAAAGGCTGTTTCAGCATTTCCTAGTTGTCTTAATTTTTCCCCTTCTCGATCCAGGCATTCCCCCTGGGATGGGGTGGTATTGGTCTTCTAATTCCAAGACAAACCACGAGGATTTATAGCTCAGTGAGTGAGCCCTTATAAGGCCAAGAGAGTTTGCAGAGGATGAAATGTCAACAGGTTAAAATATAAGTAAAGTTCCATGTTGTGTTTAAATTTTGTAACTATCAAAGGCAATTTTATGTCATATTTAAGCTTTAAAAGCAAACTTCTGCAGAAGGGATTATATCAACCATCTCAAAAGCTCAAGGATGTGATAGCATTCTATGTTTTAGAGAACAAACAGCTTTTTTGGTACAAAATCT